ATGTTTATGTGGCTTCTCAGTTACTGTATAAATCTGCGTGGACTTGACTGTGGATTTCTCCTGGGAGATTAGAAATCTGAATGTGGCTGCAGGTGCTTTACTACTAGGAAAGCCCTGTATTGCCGTTTTAGTAGAGGCTAGCATGAGACTTCTTGCATTCTTCCAAGTTTTCTTACATGGTGGGAATGAGTGTCCACACTTGTTCCTTTTGTAGGAGGGCTCTGGATTTCCCTAATCAGATTCCGTTCTAATTCTTCCCCTTATAACAGTAGTTCTTTTATGTGGGGAGGGAGATGCACACAAAGCTTTTGCTGCCGAAAGATTAATGTTAAAAGTTACTTAAAGCAGATGTCACCACAGTCTGAAGTCGAATGTGAGCATAAGCCACTACATTTTCTAACCCATTGATGAAATCCACAGTCTTACATGATTTCTGTTGCACGATGTTACCATTGGTCTAAAACGCCTATGGTTTTAAATAGAAGTTTTGCCAACTTGTGTACTGTCTGTGCTAGAAACAAGTAAAAGTTTCATGTGTTAAGTGTCTGGCAGCATCTGGACCAACTTGCTAAAGGATGGTGGTCTTAAATGCTTTGAAATTGTAGTGTTTATTTCAAAATAATGCTACTTCCCCTGCCCCCAGCTTAGGAACTGCACAAATGCTGCTCTGGACATCCCTTTACAGGCTGTATCCACATTCACTTAAATTTTACCTTGCTGGAGAGGAGACCAGCAGAAGTGATGCTTCTCTGCCACATACGAACCTCTGCTGAGCCATCCTGAAATCATCATTGCAACAAGGATGTAGGCAAGCAGAGCAGGATCAAACTTCAAGTCCATTTGTGCTGCAGTTCTGGGCTGATTAAGAGGAGTCTATGACAGTGGCTGAGGACCTTTCTGCAACACATTTCACAGTCTTTCAATTATCACATGAAGCATCTCTTTCCTCTTTTGACACCACAGCTGAGTAATAAATCCAGACTTGCTTGTAGAATTACAGGCTCTTGAAAAAAATAGCCCTCTGCTTTTGATTTGTATTGAGCTCCCATCTAACATTATTTCCTGCCTCCATATATGTTCTACCAAAGACTTTCCTCAACAGCAACAAGATTTAATGACACGGGGTGTGACGGAAATGCTTAACCTTCCTCCCCGCAAATCCTCCTTCAACTAAGAGAAATAAGGGAGAGGATGTATTCGCAAATCCTTGTTCTAGTGATGGAAAAAAAAAAAGGATCTTTAACTAGTAGAACAAGATGTGCACTGCTACTTCCTAAGGGAAATTAATTTGATTTTTTTTTTGATTAGTGGTCATCAGTCATCCTTAATCAGTAGTTTCTGGTTGTACTACACTGAACTGACTTGTTTAGTCAACCCCTGGAAGATGCTGCTCTTAGTTGCTGGAGAAAGATGTGCTAGTAGTAATAGGTTTTGTGCTGTCTAAGAGAACCATAAAGCCTGAGGCAGAAGGGCTCCTATGAATTCTGACCTTCATTGTAGCCTTAGCCTAGAGAAGGGTGTTTCTGTTTTTTCAGCAATGTTTTTTGCAACTTGTTCGACTAAAAGCACAAATGTAACACTATCCTCCTTCTACAGGCAGCAATTGATCATGTATCTTAGATGGTGCACAACTTAACTGAAGATTGTTTAAAAATGGAGTAAAATACAAAAGGATCCCAAGTCAACAAAGCGAGAGAATTTTAGAAGTCTCTTCAAAACTTACAGTGATCTGGAGCATTTTAATTCTGACAGGTGATCTTTTCTGGCTTCTTGCAAACAAGATGGCAGGCATGTCCATCGGCAAATGGATCTCATCAGGGCAGGCGATTCGCAGGTAGATCCTGGAAGGTGTTACTGATAAAGTCCTGGAGTTTGGAGTGAAGGGAAGACGTCAGTGGATTTGAGAAGAAATAGTGATTAAGTACAAGAAAATTAGAGTAAGACAACATTGGGGAGAAACTAAGTTTGGGGAGTATGTTTTGTGCCTTTTTGACACTATACATTCAAGAGGTATAGAGAACATCCCACAGATGGGTCAGTCAAAGTCTGAGAGCACTTTTCACACATTCAGGAACACAGCAGGAAGAAGACTCCAAAAGCCACTATAAGAAATAAAATTGTACAGTGATTTATTTTAGATCTAGAAATATTTTACATTTTTACATTAGTGTGCAGTTCATGATGTCTCAAAGATACAGAGTGCAGGTACATGTATAAAAGTACAATGTGGGGCTAACCACAGTTTCTCCATAAAGTTACCTTAATTGTTTAAGGCATTAAACCCCCATTTTATAGTTTAAAAAGCCACATATTTTTACATTCAAAAATTCTTCAATGTAATTCAGCTAATGGGTTTATTTTTCATTAAATCTGGACTGGTAAAAATACCGATACCCTCCTTTCAGGTCTGGTACAGCTCACTATAAGCCTGTGATAATGTTGAGGGGCGAAGACTGCATATTCTCTTCAAGGGAATTAACACAGGCTTCCTAAGAAAGAGTTCTGCCTTCCTGTTTGTTTATTTTTAAACTAAATACAAGGTAGTTCCAGGTCCAAACTGGTGACAGATGGAGAGCCTGGTACATTTCTCAGTGCTGCTCAAGCTTTTCAGCTGAAGACAAAATGACACTGGCTATACATTATCATGGAAACTATAGCACCTCCCTACATGGATGTCAGTGTAGAGTGTGTGTCTAAGAGCAGAGCTGAACCTAATACAACATTCTTTTAAGTCTACATTCAAAAGCTCATTTGTATAACAATTTCAGTAACATGGAGGGGGGGAACCAAAATTAGCCCAATGCAATAATGGTATGATTAGTGCTACTGACACGGTGTATAAACACTGAATATACAATGGGATAGGGCAAGTATCTTAATGCTGATTGGGACTGGAAGAATTTGGGCAACAGCTGCCTAGCTTACATTTTACTGCTTTCCACCTTCTTGTCTAACAAAGCCTAACGCACCTACAATTATCAAAGGGGCAGGGGAGGGCAGAGCTGATGTTCTGTCATCACTGCTACACTGACTACTCAACATAACCGAATGGTGTAGCTGTCAAAGCAAAAGTCAGGATTAAAGTGAAAACATGCCTGCAATGTGAGGCAAAAAGGCATTATTTTGAATCCCCAGTCCTTAGGCCAACAGATAGAGAACTACTGAATTATTTCTAATGCTTAAATAAACCAAAGATAAGAGATTCCAAAACTTTTTCTTTCCAAAGGGTCACTACCTAGCCAAAGTAACTAGACTTTTTTTTTTTCCCCTAAAAACAATTATACCAGCAAATAATTTTGCTATAACAGGACTGGAATGCACTCTACACTTTCATTTTTCAAAGCAGCACTTAGTCCACTAACTAGGAAAGTGATCTGACATAACTTCTTTATATTTGCTCTATACTTTGTGTAGTCAACAATAGATATGTGTTTATTCCATGAAAACCTGAAGAATATATGCAAAACAGTATGGAAAAAGTCAAAAACCTTTTTATCCATCAGCTCTAAACAGGAGTGAACTACACAATGACATAACTCCAGTGTTTCACCTGTAGGAACAAGGAAATGCTATGGCTAAAGTTGACAGAGACATTCACATTTAATGTTCTTTGTGCTACCCACTAGCAAACCAGCCAAGATGACACTATTGAGTTGCAGTGACAGCAACAGCCCTGCTGCAGCTGCAGAGCTTTAGCAGTTAAACCTTCACAGCTCAGGTAATCATCTGAGGATGCAGAAATTTCATCACCTGCTTTGCAGCACATGCTAGGATACAGACCTACATTGCCCTGTTTACTTGTTTCAAGTTTTTTTTTGTTCACTTTGTTTAATAATTCCATATATTCTTCTGTGACTTCTCCATCACTTGCCAGTGTTTTACACCAACTTTTACTGCAGTACTGAGCAAATGCAGAACAATACATTGCTGGTGAATTAAAATACTAGTTTACAATACAGTAGGTACATTCAGCTATTTTAATTCCAGTTAGCTACCCATTAGAGCCATTTCCAAAGAGAACCATTCCCACCACCATGCTCTTCCCATATTCAGCACATCATTCCATTTATTTGTTATAAAACATGAGAAAATTCGTTGATACTTAATCAGTATGTTTTATAACTACGTATTTTTCATAAAAAATAGAACCTTTGCCTTTTTAAATATCTCTACATATCTGTGAATAACAGTGGCTCCAATCAGTCAGTTTTCATGAAAATTCCATAAAAATATCACATCTAAAGATCAATATAATATTCATCTTTGGATCTAAAATTAATGTGCAGTCAATAACTGACTTACAAAGTTTGACTAAAAAGACCCAAGGATTGAAATATTTACATTACACATATTTTCCAATTACAGTGCTATAAGAAAGTGGAATGTTTTTTAGAATTAAAAAATAAACTCAAGCCTCACAGGGCAGCTCCAGACCAGAGCGGCATCTTCATTTTGTACATTTTTATACCAGGAAAGATTTCTCTGTCATTTCATACGTAGATTATTTCTCTGCCCAATGATCTATAAAATTATACTCCTGAACTACCATCATGTCCCACAAAGTCATTAAGTTAAGTGTTAAATAACATTAATATTTATAACTATGTGACAACATGGACTCTATACACACACACGGACATGCACATACTTAAAATCTTTAATTTTATAAGGGTGAATCTAGGTTAAAAATAGGGTGTATGTATGTATAAAAGTAGTTACTAGAAAAAAAAAATCTATCTAAAGCTTTAGAATTTAGTACTGACTTAAACGTCTCCATTTTTAGACCACAGAGAAAGAAAACTCAGACAATCTTTAAATTAGTTAAATCAGCTCACTAGCCGATTAGTGGGTTTTTTTTTCTTTTTCAGTAATACACAATGTCACCGGCAAAGTATTTAAGTAGCCACCAAGGTCTAGAGCTCACACTCCCATCTACTGTTAGAATTGGGCGGACCTACACACAATCTCCTCGGAAAGACTGTGAGGGAGGAGTCCATTTGTCCCCTGGAACTGTCCTCTTTCACCGCAGCCACGTGGAGGGCACCCACTGGGGTTCTGTGTCGAGTTTGTTAATTAACCGAAGCAACTCCTGATAGGCCTTATCGAGATCAGAATTCACAATTGCTGTATCAAAGTAGTGGCCGTTGTTCTGTTCCATCTCCCTCGTCTTCTCGATGATTTCTCTCAATTCTTCTGGCTGAAAACAAAACCAGAGTTACTCTGTGCGTGTCAGGCTCCTCCCTAACAATGGAAGAGAGAAGGTAACACCTCTGCTCAGGTCTTTTACGCAAGCTTTCATGGTTTCGTCGGTTTTGGCTATGGAAAGATTTCTGAGAACATTTAACCATGATGCATATTTGAAAGCCAGGGACACTGAAGACATCTCTACTTTTTGGCATCATCACCAATCACGTCTGATTTGCCTTAACTACAACCCAGGAAATAATCGTCTCAGACTGATGTGAACGAGGTAGACACATTGCTGCTTATTCTGTAACACACATCTTATTCCTGTGCTTAAATCACATTTCTAGAAAATAAGTTACACTGTTAAGCTCCCTGTCTTCCAAAGTGACTGAAGATGTCAAAAATAACACGGAAGAAAGTTTGAATGGTGCAGAAAAGACAATGTGGCTCTGCTAAGACAGCCAAGACCAAAAACTTTCATTAAAATATTTTTACCCCAAAGAAGCATAAAGGAAAGAATAACCAAAGCCAAACAATGAGAACCACAATGAGAACCACACCATTCGAGTCAACAGAACCACTATAGCATCAGTAAATAACACCAAAGGAAAAAAGTTGAAAGGGGAAAAATAGCACCAGGAATATTGCCCATGTAGATAAAAGATCCTAAGGAAGAAGTAGACCTCGATGATTTTGCTTTAGGGTTTCTAAACTGGTTTCTAAAAGCATGTTTGGTTTTATCTTCTGCAGCTTATCTTATTGCTCTGTTCATATAAAGAAATATATTTGGGTATGATATATGAGGCAAAATGCTCCCCCTGCGGGCACATGTTTTTCAGAAAAAAAAAAAAAAAAAGATCAGTATCTTTTGTTATCCCAGCAACACATGCTTTGTATCCTACAGGCAAATAAGGATCTTTTCTGATTTCTCAGGCAAATAAGGATATTTTCTGATTTTTCAGAGACCCTTGTTTAATCTCTGGATTTCAATTACATCCTACAGAACTGTTTATTTAACCAAATCTGAAGTAAAAAAACTGAGATACTGACACTATTCACATTGATGCATGAGGAATGATCCTCTGGGATCAAACATCAGAATAACTTTATCTGAACAGTTTAATTTTAGAATACATTTTAAGAAAGTATTTTTCAAGGGCAAACATGCTCTCAAAATGGGAAAGAAGAAACATGTAGTCCCTAGAATTTCCCTTATAGTTAGTGGAGGACAATGAAATGGGGTTTCACAAGTTTTGAAATAAAGGGTTTTACTTTTGTGACCAAATGAAGGAACCACAACTGACTCTGCAACTAAAGAGAGTCACTGTGCCCCAGAATTACTGAATTAGGGGTTGTGTTTGTTCTGGTATATCACACCTATTAGGTTAGGAAAAAGTATACTAAACCTCTCCCTTCCAATCTGGAAAGGACAGCTCTAAACCACAGCACTTCCTGTGTAGTTTAAGTACCTTTAACACTCCATAAATCCAAAAAATAGCATACAAATGTTTACTGAGAGCTGTCAACTAATAGATGAGTTTCAGAAGAAATGTCAGATGTTACCTTTGGATTTGGTTGTGTTTGTTCTGATATATCACACCTATTAGGTTAGGAGAATGTATACTAAACCTCTCCCAATCTGGAAAGAACAGCTCTAAACCACAGCACTCCTGTGTAGTTTAAGTACCTTTAACACTCCATAAATCCAAAAAATAGCATACAAATATGTTTACTGAGAGCTGTCAACTAATAGATGAGTTTCAGAAGAAATGTCAGATGTTACCTTTGGATTTTTCCCTTCTTTGGCCAATAGAGCACGTAATCTTTCTTGGGAAGGTGGTGCAATGAATACAATATATGGCTTCAAGTCTGAATTGCGCAGCGTCTTCAGTGACTGCAGAAAAATAGGGTTTAAGTGTAGAACAGTTAACAAGTTTCACTCACAAAATGGTAGTATAATGATATATTGCTCAAATAGTATAACTGATTATATATTCCATCAAAAGACTACCAAGGTAATTCTAATGCTACAATACTGCTGTTGATATATTATTAACTGGAATAAAGACAATAGGCAACAGCTCCTGCCATACCTGGGTATGGAGATTTAAAAGGCATATCTTGCCAGAGTTGATCACCTGCCGCACCGAGTCTATGCTAGTACCATAGAGGTTCTTCTCAAACTCTCCATATTCAATGAACTTCCCTGCAGCTATGTCATTCTCAAACGCCTGTCGGGAAATGAAATGGTAATCCCTTCCAGCTACTTCATTCTCTCGCCTGCTCCGAGTAGTATCTACAAACAAGAGCAAACAAAAAGAAATCAAGGCAGTGATGCAGCTCCTGTAGATCTGCAAGGAGAAATAGTGCTAATAAAGCAAAAAAGGTATCTGAAATACCCAGTAAGAAATGAAGGTATTATTTTCACCAAAAAACATTATTGAACAGATTAGTCTGCCAAATACTGAAGTTATATTTTTTCTTCTTTTAAAAATTAATCTAGAAAAATTAATCAACTAGAAAAGGAGCAGTTTAACCTGTGCAGCTGCATTTTGGATGGGAAAAAATGTTAGCCATTTACAACATGTTAACAGACATTAAATATGTAATACTCAGTGAAAAGGCACGAAGTTCAGAAAAGCACTAAATCACCAAAATTGAAATTTCTAACAGTAGCTAGGTTAAAAACTCTGTGAGATGTGCCAGTTTCTTTTACAAACTGCTCTAACATGTTCCAACTTGATCCAAGCTGAGATAGATGCCTAGGTTATAATGCTTCTGTAACACCCTGTAATGCTGCTGTACGTTGGGACACTCAGTGAGCATTGATTTACCAAAGCTTTTGCTTTTTTTTTTTTTTTTTTTTTTTTTCGCTACACAAGCCTGGACCTGTCCTTTCTCCAGCAGTACCTACACGCCACTCCACGCCTCCCCAGACGCTAGTTTTTTTTCCGCTACACAAGCCTGGACCTGTCCTTTCTCCAGCAGTACCTACACGCCACTCCACGCCTCCCCAGACGCTAGTGAGCGTGCGGGCGCAGGAGGAAGCGCGTGCGGGCGGCGCAGGGCCCGGGCAGCCACACTCACGCGGGACGGCGGAGGCGAAGCGATCCACCTCGCTGTGCAGCAGCCTCTGCCGCAGCTCCGTCTGGCCGCAGCTCTGGGGGCCGATCAGAACGATGGGCCGTTTCCTATTAGCCGGCTGATGATACAGGGACATTTCCTCATACGTCAGTATTTCCTCGTTATCATAATCTTGAGAACAAAAAAACATTAAAAAAGGCAATACACGTTATTGCTAGGTGCCTATGGTAATTAGTTCAACGAAGCTCCCATCTTTCTTCCCAGCATCTATTTGCAGGCAATGAAAGCCAGAAAACCTCAAAAAATTATCACTTGGGGCTGCCCAGTAAAACAAGATATTCTTTCTCCCTTCTGGGGAAGGGACACATCCTTCCAGTTCTTACTGGTATAAGCCATAGTATAAGCTAAAGAAACAACCCTCCTAGCAAGAGAGCAAGTTTCTGGGATGAAAACAACACTTTGTGCTGAACAACCACCAACCCAAATCCAATGTACTTTAAGAATACAGTTTTAACAGCCTACACAACTTAGTGTGAACAAATTGTCCATCTACTAGATATAATCATGAAGAGCATAACGATTTTCCAATACCATAATAAAGTATTTCATAATTGTAAAATTGTGAGACCTTCAATGCCCCCAAAGCTATTTATTTTTCTATCTGTATCATCTGGTCTTTATTAAAGGCACTAAATGTCTTTACAGAACAAACACGGATCATCATAAGACAATTCTTGCAATATTACATCCTGAATTTCAAATGTTCACAGGACTAACTATTTCTAGAATCTTCTACAGTTGTTACAAGTGAACACATTGTGTAAAAGATGTCGCTTACCATCATTTTTATTTGCATTGTATAAAACCTTTTTCCGTTTCTTTTTATTCTTCTTCGCACACCAGAGTTTTCCTAACAAAAATAAAATCAACACAATTAATTATCTGGACAGTAAAAACCTCCCTATCCTGTCCATTACCTGGATTTTTAAAATGGATTTTTTTTTCCCCAAAAAAATTTGAGAAGGCATCATATTCTTTAGTTCATTACAGGTCTGAGTAATAAAGCAAACGCTGCACGTCATGGTAGGTATCATTTTTTGAGAAAAAAAACTTCTCAAACTCTCCCACATAACCTCCATTATATTGTATATCATTGAAACTAACACAGGTCAGATCTGCATTTACATGAAGAATTTCAAAGAAACATCCTATCTATATTATAAAGAAGCATGAGAATTTTCTATAATTCTCTATGTAAACAAGGTTCCAGAAAGCTCTCTAATTAGCACATGTTTTACAGAAAATTTCTTCTTGGAAAATGTATATCCAACCTGATTTCTCTGGCTCCTTGTCTTCTTCTATGGTTTGCTTCATTGCTTCCCTCTGCTGTTGAAAACTTTTTCCTTAATGCATTAGTAAGAAAAAGAAAGGTAAAATAAAAGTTAATGATTAAAAATCACTTCAATCTATAACTAAAATTGTATATATAATATCTTATTTTATTTTAATGACCTATTCATTTTACTTTTTTCCTATGTTTTCAAATCTCCAAAGAGTTTAATAACATACAAGATGCAAAAGAAACTCACTGGGGAAAAAACAGAAGATGACCATACAGAAGATGCAAAATTCTCATAGATATTTTTAATATTTTAGTAGAAAAAAATCTCAGAAAATTAAAAAAATGGAGTCCAAGCTTCAACAGCAAACAGTAAAACAAGTCTGCATGGCTTATGCATCACACTAGTAATATCCTCTGACACTAAGGATAGTTGGTAGTGGTGTTACCCATATTTACACAACACTAGCTGTGTTGTCTCAGTAGTACTACCTACATCAGATGACAGTTACAGTTAAATTTCCAGTGGTTCTGGGAGCATACTTCCCAACTTGCCCAAGTTGCCTTTATATTTAGCATTCCTTCTTAAGTTCTATATTTATTGTCAAATAAATCAAATAGCCTTGGCATCATTAGCAAGGATATTTTTGTGTTTTCTTTGATGTTTTTATATTGCTTGCATATCACTTTCCTTGGGTGAACATAGGTAACAATGCAGTATTACTAGTGAGCAGTAAACACATATTCCCTTCCCAGCATGACTTGATTTTTGTGAATTTTGGAAAGAAGAATTCAGCCCTTCAAAGAAATCCAACAGAAATACTTGCAAAAGGTTAAAGTTGCTGAGAAACCTGTTTGTTTATTACTCAGGAACTGCACCACTCAAGAGTTGCAGGGCATTCAAACTACTCTGGACTGTCTTGTTTGGAAATGTAATCATTCCAGTATTTTCAGGTTTTCAAGTTATGAGGATGCGACTTCCTAATTATTTTTAGATATTAGATGTGTTCTATTTATACAAAATCTTTTGAACATTAGCCTCAAAGAGATTAGCCTATATTTAACATCAATGTTCTTATCTTATTCCAGTGCCATAAAATAATGTCATACTTCACAGTATTTGTAAAGTTTTTTTTTCCATCCACTATTTTTAATAGGTAGCCAAATCTTTAATGGACTGATATGAAGTTCATAATGGATACAAAAATTATATACCGACTCTGATTTCTGAAAACCCAGTTTCCCAAAAGCCTCCAGCAACTAGAAAAGCATGGCAAATCAACTAAAGCTCTTTCCTGAGCAAACACATGCAGAGAAATTATTACCTAAAGAGATAGGTTTACAAAAATACCCTAGCTGAAATACTGAATAACCCATCAGGTGCTGTCATCTAACAGAACAAACAGGTTTGTTTTTGCAGTAGCCAGCAGAGGGAACTGTTGCAGAGGAAAGAGAAGATTTTCTGTTTAATATCTATACAGAGAGATCCTAGTTTATGCTATTGCCAACTGAAGCTCAACTGGAGTGAGTCAATTATGCAACTAATTCTGTGCTCTGCTGTAGCAGGTTGAAAGCCACAGATGCCTAAGGTAGTCAAAGTATATGGGTTTTTTGAAAACTAATTATTGCCCATGACAGCTATAGGGACAATCATCTGTGAAGCTTTTGCTAAAACTTTGCTTACCGGGGATAAGGCCTGCCAGGGGCTGATTGTCTTCATCTCCATCCCTGTAGGCCTGCCACCAGTTGGGATCTTCTTGGCTGATCACATGCAGTATATCTCCTTTCTGAAAGGACAGGCCTAACTCTCGGCAAGGGACGTAGGGGTCATCAGAGGGATCATAGTCAAAATGTGCTTTCACATGTATCTGCGGAAGAACAAAAGGAAAAACAGAGGGAAAACTGCTGCTTCTGAAGAGCTACACCCCATCTTCCTGTGACTGCACTGGAACTCTAATACATCAAAACTCCAAGATCCCATAGAATGGTGATTTTACATGGCATATAGGACATAATGGAATGGAATAATTAGATACATTTGCCACAGGAAAGAGTTGTGCTAGTTTGGAGGTGACTGCCTGAATTTAACCCCAAATTATAAAGTATGTAGTTTCCTCACTTCTTCAGAAGGAAAAAAATAAGCAAGCTACTAATTTAAACTTTTTGCATTAAGAACTTATCAGGCATTCTCATTTTTAAGAGTAATCAGCAAGTGTATTGAAACCCATTCTTTAGGATTCTAGGTGAAAGTTTTTGATACACATTGCACGGAGATTTATATAAAACCGTTAAAGCTATCTAAAGAAAAACATTAGTCAACAAGATATTGAACAAATTGCTGTTAAAATTTTCCCTCCCCAAGCATATTTTCAAGTTCAAGCAAAAAAGGTAGTTCAACCAATAAAATTTTTATTTATTAAGCACACACATAGTAGGTTATTTCAAAAGAGAATTTCAGAAGCACAGACTGTTCTGCTTTTATAATTTTTTTTTTAATCTTTAAGAAACTGAGTTTAAAAAAAATAGTATAAATTTTAGCTTACATCCTTCAATCACTTTTATTAACTAATTCAGATACTAGTCCAGTGGTTTAAATTACTTTTTTTTTTTTTTTTTGGTTCCACCACCTAATGTGACTCATAGAAGAGCAAAAGTAGCACGCATCTGAAACTCAAAACTTAAAGCTACTTACAACTGTCTCCTTCGCAGGAGGTGGTTTGCTCTGTTGACTGGGAATCAATACAAAAGTCAGAGTACCATGCATGTCAGCCTGAGGGGAGGGGAGAGGAAAAAAAAAAAAAAAGTTATTCAGTATGGAGTATCAAAATCTGAAACAAGGTTAAGAATTCTAATAAATAGCATGTTTGGAAAATGCTGCATCAAAAAGCCAGCTGATGCTGACACACAGATAAAAAGCCTGGAATTCTTCATTATGCATAAGCTATCCCTATAAGAAATGGGGCACTTGCAACTGGAAGACTGTGAGAATTACTCTTATTTTATACCAAATATCAGCAAGTGAGTCTATGCTTGGAGGAAAAGCATGGAAGATTTTAAAGAAAACTCTTGTATGCAACACACGTGTATACACACAAGCATATAAAGATGTAATAAAAAACAAGCACCAACTCTGAAGTGGCCTAGATAAGTCTCATTTTATACACACCATTCCATGAACCATATATATAATTCAGGTTGCACAAAACCAAAATGCACACATGTATCACGCAAAGTTCAGGCCTAAGGCTCAAAAAAAAAAAAAGAAAAACAGAGATAATTGAGCATAACATGAACAGGCTCCAAGAAAGCAAACCCCACAATACTCAGTCATAGCTCTGTAATGGAATCTGTACTGATGGTCTAGATAGTCTTGGCTAGTCATGTGCAGTTCATTATCATTTTACTAGCAAAGGATGAAGCAAAAAAAAATTAAGTAATTTCTATCTATTAAAAGTATTCTCCTAGGGACTGAAATATTTGAGACTGATTTTTAAAACCTCAACATCACATTATAAAATAAAAAAATCTACATGTAAAAACTTTTAAGAAATTATAGAATTTTAGTCAAGTAGTTTGCTTTAATGTTAATATATTATGGTTTTTAATCTTTTATTCTGTAACTCTAGCTTGCAGGAGCTGCTCAAGAATAGAGCAAACCCCACAGAAAATAACTCTAAACTAGCACTGCCAGAGTTGAATTATCTACTAAACACACAGGAAACTTTTCAGAAGCATAAGACTTAGCTGCTATGACTTTACAAAAATGGTAATTTCCAGTTTCTAGCATCCTACATCACAAGGCCTTCGAGATAGCAGTTCTGTACCAACAGCTCCTGATGACACCTTCTCCTGTAATTTAGCCTAGTAGCTTTTAATCTAATGTATATTTTTTCATAAGTGCCAATAATATAGTAAACAGAAATGGAAGACATGTATGCTGGTAAAATCCTAGACAAAAGTGCTGTTAACAGAAGAGAAATCTTTCAGATCTAAGAGAACAACAACAATCAAATCAAGAGGACACCTTGACTCTTCCAAATTTGTAGGCCTCATTTTTGCAGGTAGGTTTCTGCTTACTACTATTTTATTTTGCATCAGAAAGGGAAGTTAAAATGCTCCCCTATATGTATTAGCCATTGGAATGAAAGCATTATTTAAAAACAAGTTAAATAGGAGAGCAAATGACAAGCTGAACCATCAGGCTTCAGTCTTATGAAATGAGTATTTCTCGCACAGCAAAGTACTGCGTGGCTTACCAGTAAGTCAAAAACTTCATTAACATCTTTTCCACGAATCTCAATGCCATTGATCTCTAGAACTTCATCCCCTTCGTGTAACAGCCCGCTCTTCTCTGCGGCGCCTCCTTTGACTATTCGACTAATGATGACAGAATCCATTTCATTGCGAACGGTAGCACCCTGTACAGTGGCAACAAAATCTGAATTTATTACACATACGAAACTCAAGGACATCTCTAGTATATACTCCAAGCTAGTGGAGATAGATTTCTATGTTGAAAGAGAATACAAGAGCTTGGATGCATATACCTAATGCTGTACTTAATGATTAGGTAAGAAAACAACCAAAAAAACCCAACCCACCTGTTTGCATGTGTTGCATGCAAAATTCTATTTTAAGCAGTTTTTCTACAGAAAATAACCACTTGTTTGAAAAACAAAAAACGAAAAAGGAAAGAGCTGTTAAAAAGTCTTCAGCAGCTGTCACAAGGATACAAACTCCACTGCAGCAGAAGTTGGACATTGTCTTCAATCAAGAAGTCCCATCCAAACTCATATTCATAACAGTTGCATGGACTATAAACGGTATTATGTCAAGTGCTGATATCAAAGTACATAGAAGTTAATTATCTAGAAACATTTCTCATTGCAGGAGTGGGGGGGGAAGGTTTATGAGTTAAACATTGCCTCCACATTCAAATGAAAGTTTTCATTGCAATCTGCAAAGGACAAGCACTTGCCTGCTTCACATACAATTCTGAGTATTAATACATACCAGTGGAATATCTCGAGCTTTCTCAATCCGAACTATTTTAACCGTCTCCCCTCCATACAGGCCAACATTCTCATAAATCTTCTCGTCTGTTACTGGCTCTGGTTGCATTTCTTGCTCTGCAACCTTATCATGAGCCAGTAAGAGCGCCTAGTGTCAAACAAAAGCAGTTCAGTTGAAAAAAAATTTTGTATCTATATAAAAATGGTACAATGTTCAGTGAAATTCTATAGCTACATAAATCTTTGCAGGTTACAGAAAATTGCAAAGTGACTCAAAATTTATCACAATTATGCATTTGTATACAGCTATAATTTTAAACACGTTATCAGAGTTCCATACCGTATATAGCTGCAGAATCCAATCACTTCTAGAGCTGCAGGCCATAATTTTAACTATTAATTTACTGAAGTTTTACTGTTATCACAAAAGACCTGAGGTATCTTTGAAAACATCGCTGTAAAACAATAAGCCTGCAGAATAATGCAATGTCTGCTCATATGAGACGTACCTTTCAAACCTACAGAAATCACACACCCACTTGTACCATTCTGCAAAGCCAGGGAGAAAGGAACCAAAAGCATCTGAACAAGTTGACTTTTATTATAACTGCAGGCACATGAAGCTGCAATTATAACTCCACCAAAACTTCGGATTTAATTTTAGAAACAACCCCAAATTTCCAAAGTTCTTGCAATACTTAGGCAAAACTTTGACTCCCATAATACAGAACTTGTTCAAAATATGGTGCTCAAAGGGTTTCAAAATGAAGCACTGAAGCAAAGCAAGAGATTACTTGGCAACTCTCAGACTGCAAATTCTTTGGGACATGTAGTATCTACTATACACGCATGCCAAAGTTTGCTTCAAGATTGCAGAAAATATAAAAATAATGTTAAACACAACTGTGACTGTGCTTAAAGATTCCTATGTAAGAAAAAAGAAATACAATAAAAAACTAGGAAATTGTCTTATTATGTAAACTATGTAAACGACATAAAAAGTTATTGCAGAGAAAATAACTTAGGAATTTACACTTTGCCCACAGGACAAAATTTCCTTTGTGCACCTTAATGCCAAGTGTGAAACAGTTTTCACTAAAGGAAAAAAAGAAAACATATATAAGTAGTTGTTGCAAAGCAGCTGATGTATCATCCCAACCCCAATGACCTAATGGGAACTTGTTCACATTAAAATTACTCAGTTGTGACTATAAATTATAGCAGGGGCTGAATACAATCATATACTACATGTTAGTACAAGTTCCCATTAGTTGTAAGACATTAAAAACTTCTCACCCTAGAGGAATATTCAAGCTTTGCCAGAGATTAAGAACAGGATCTTCTCCCAAACTGGCCCAAGATATTTGCAAAAATATAAAATAGACTGAAGAGAACATTAAGAAACATATCTAATAAATAAAACATCTCCTGCTGCTTTACCTGCATGTGAGGGGCATTCAGCAAAGCATTAAGCTCCTGCCCATCTTTGTGGTGACTGGGTTTCAAAACACTCTGCACCTAAGGAGAAAATAGGTCATAAAGCCCTTACTCTATCAAGCAAACAAAACAAACAAAATCACAAAACCCCATCCAAATAATCCAAAAAACCTAAAAAACAAACCACTCCCAGAAGCAAATCCAAAAGACCCCCACAGGCCAAGTACAAAGTCCTAATTGCAGTTATTCATTTTACACAGTAAAAGGATGCCCATGTAATTGTTATCCCGGTTCATTAAACTTATTCCGATGCACATGCAATGAGACGACTACAGAACGACTCGAGCATGTCTTGTCTCAGTAATTCTCTACAGAGTAAAAAACTGGTATCCAAGATTTCATGCAGATTTGTCAACTGCAGAGACTAACACAGAGCTTAGCTATTACAAAAGATATGGCAAAAAGATATAAAAAAACCACCTCTGTATAAAGTAGAGAGTGAAATCAGTCACAGTGAAGTCTATTTGCATATGCCAGGTTTTAGCCTAATTACTCACTAGTGCGGCTAGACTTCTTTTTGCCTAAAAGACGGTAAGAGTTTGGGTAATGATAAGCTACCAACAGCAAAAGTGAAAGACAGGTTCCTACCACCCAGGTAGGTTCCAGACAGGTTCCTACCACCCATGCCAAGCCCTCTGCCTCACAGCATGACGCCAAAATACCAGGACCCCAGGAAACCAGGTTTCTCTGGCTGTTTCTAAAATAACCCATGTTAATAAATGGATTGTCTTGTGCTTAAGCAACTCCAGGTGCCAAAAAAGGATTTGCATTCTCATTCTGTTACAAAAGATGCCCTGCCAGCATCTCTCTCAAATAGCAGAAAATCCCAGCACACTTTAAGAGAAGACCAAAAGCAGAGAATCCAGTTGTAAAGCAGGGAAGTGAGGTATATGCAAAGGCAAGATTGACTTTTCATAGCCCTTATCCTTATATATCTAATTTGCACCAAATGCATACACGTGCAAAAACACTAATGGATCCAGAGGCAACAGAAATAGATTATACATACCAGAGCCTTTTATAAGACATAAATCATTTTTATATATAACTAAATCTCTTAAACATGAGGCCATGTGACAGATTCAGGAAGAGAAAAACTAATTATGTTTTTGTGGGCTATATTAAAGTCAAAAGATTTCAAGAGCCTCTACCCTGATAAAACTTATCTGTAGAAATACTAAAACCTCTCTGGGATGCTACCAGACTACAGTACTGAAAACAGAGCAAAGATACTTTGAAACTCCATGAGAAGTCACTGAATGAACAGCTTCTGTAAGCAGCAAGATGACATTGGGATGTCCTTTGGCAGATATATCCTTCAGAGTGCTCTGTTTCCCTAAAAGCAACTCTTCCTCACTGTTTAACAGAACTCTTCTGTACAGAAGAGCTTGAAAGATGCTTATTTAAGGTCTCTCTCTTTAAAGAGACTTTACAGTATTTTCACGGAGAAGCCCCAAGAAGTAGTTTTAAAGCCTTGCTTAAGCAAATTTTGATGGACTTTTACAGAAAAACCTAGTAAGAAAGAAACTTGAACAGAAGAAAATGTCTTTCCATAAGCAAGGCATTTTGCAGATTTGGGTCAGAGCA